CTGTCCAAGGAGGAAATGGTGTCTCTGACAGACAAGCTCCATGCCTTAGAATCGTTAATAAAGGCTTTGGAGCATAATACTGGACAGGAGATTCAGGATTTACAGAAGGCAATGGTGAGCAGATTTAATAAGATTGAGGAAATCCTAGACTCTGATGAACAGGAGCAAAAGGTAGAAAGGCAACATTTACCTCCGAAAACTCTGAGTCTACACAGAGTTATACCTGCCTTTCCAGTAATAACATCAGAAAAGATAACTGGCTCCAAAAACCCTAAGGTCATTAAAGAACATACATGGGAGCCTATACATATGAATGATCTAAAAGAATTTAAACAAGCAATTATGAATTATGGACAACATTCGTCCTTTGTTAGAGAGATGTTAAAATCCTGGGCTCTCAGCAACAGGGCAACCCCTCAAGATTGGAATCAGCTGACTTCTGCTGTCCTGGAGAACTGACCTTTATGGCATTTCAAATGCCTATTCAAGCAAGAGGCCAGACTTTTACAACAACAAGAATCAGCAAAAGGAATTGAGGTTTCTCTAGATCAAATTCTAGGTGAAGGACTTTACTCTGATCCTCAGGAACAAGCTCTTTATGATAAAAACATTTTATCCATATGTGCCACAGCAGCTCTAAGAGCCTGGGACAGGGTTCAAGACTCAGGTCAGAGAGTAGAATCATATATCAGGGTAAAACAGGGTCAGAGAAAACCCTTTAATGACTTTTTACAAAGACTAACTAAGGCTGTACAAATAGCGATACCTGATCCAGAAGCAAGAAATACAGTAATTGAGTCTTTGGCTTATGAGAATGCCAACATAGAATGCAAAAGGATCCTGGGGCCTTTAAAGATCAGATCAGCACCTTTGGATGAATGGGTATTACATACAATAAATGTTGATACATTTGATTATGAAAATAAAACATGGATACAAGAAGCAATTTCCAAAGGTAAAAGGAGACATCAGATTACAAAATGCTTTCATTATGACAAAATGGAACACATAAAAAGGGACTGCAGACAATGGAATTCCAAAAATAATGCCTCTTCTAGGAATAACAGGAATAGGAGGACTCAGCCTTCAGGTTTATGTAGGAGATATGGAAAGGGTAGGCATTGGACAAATGAATGTAGGTCAACAAGAGATAAACAGGGCAACCAGTTGCCATCAGAAAACTCAATAGGGGGCCTCTTGAAGGCCCCCATGGCAAATGTGGTCCAGTCATTTCCGATCACTGCAGAGAACATGCCTCTTCAGGAAAATTAAAATGCCCCATGCCTGCTGTTAAAAGCAATAACGGCCTGAAGGATGAGTTAAATGTGATGAATGAATCAAGAAATATAAGAGGACAAAATAAACAAATATTCTGGCAGACTTCTATAAATGAACAAAGACCAAAGCTAAGAGTGTATGTAAATGGCAAATTTATTACTGGCTTACTGGACACAGGTGCAGATGTAAGTATCATTACTCCAGAGTCTTGACATCCGCATTGGCCTCTTCAGGAGGTAGATATGCAGTTCCTAGGAATTGGAATTCTATCTCGGGTAAGACAAAGCACGAGATGGGTCAATTGTATAGGTCCAGATGGACAAATAGGAAAACTAAGGCCATATGTAGCCAATATTGCAATGAATTTATGGGGCCATGACCTATTGCAGCAATGAAATACCCAAATTAACATTCCTGCTGCTTTTAGAGCCTATATTCCTGAGGTAAATAATACAAGATATTACGGATGGCAGAAACCAGCCATTAAAACTATGCAAAAACATAACACAATTGATGGCCCTTCAGAGGTACCAACAGCCATGCCTCTAAAATGGTTGACTGAGAAACCAATATGGACTAAACAATGGCCTTTAGCTGAGGAAAAGTTACAGGCTTTAGAACAGCTGGTACAAGAGCAATTAGATGCTGGACATATAGAAGAATCTAACAGCCCTTGGAATTCTCCTGTATTTGTTGTTAAGAAAAAATCTGGTAGATGGAGAATGATGACAGATCTTAGAGCTATCAACAAGGTTATTCAACCAATGGGCCCTCTGCAATCTGAAATTCCTCTGCCCTCCCTGTTACCAAAGGGATGGCATCTTATAGTTATTGATCTGAAAGATTGTTTCTTCACTATACCTTTACAAGAGAAAGATAGGAAAAAGTTTGCCTTCACAATGCCTACTTATAATAACTCTCAGCCTACAAGGAGATACCAATGGACCATCCTCCCACAAGAAATGTTAAATTCTCCCACCCTGTGCCAATATTTTGTAAGCCAGCCATTAAAAATTATATGCAAACGATTTCCTAAGTCCATAATATTCCACTATATGGATAACATCCTGATCTCTGATCAAAACAAAGATACCTTAGAAAGACTGTTTAAAAAAGTAAAAATAATGTTACCTAAATGGGGTTTGCAAATTGCTCCTAAAAAAATTCAGAGAGGAGATTCTGTTAATTATTTAGATTATAAAATAGGTTTACAAAATATTAAGACACAAAAGACACAAATCAGGAGAGACCGGTTACAAACTCTTAATGACTTTCAAAGATTATTAGGAGACATCTCCAGCCTACGACCGACTGTTGGGATAACACCTGATCTAATAATTCATTTAAACAAAACCTTGGATGATGATAAAGACTTAAACACTCCCAGAAAATTAACAGCTAAAGCAAAAAAAAAAAAAAACTGACAATGGTTAAAAAAAAAATTACAGGAGGCTCATGTGGACAGGATAAATCCAAAGCTTAATTGTATTCTTATTATATTGCCTTCCAGAATTTCTCCTACAAAAATTTTGATGCAAAGAGACGATATTATCTTAAAATGGATCTTTTTGCCCCACAAACCAAATAAAAAATTAAAAACTTATATGAAAAAAGTCTCTAAATTGATTATAAAAGGAAAATTAAAACTTCGTCAATTAGCAGATATAGACCCAACAAAAATTATAATGCCTTTCACTGCTGATGACATAAAAAAGTTATGGAAAGACAATAAACCATGACAAAGAACATATGCTATTTTTTTTTGGGAAAAATCAATAACAATTACCCAAAAAACAACAGACTTAATTTTATAAAAAGGACTTCTTGGATCCTTCCTCAAATTGTCCATGATGCTCCAATAACCGGAGCCCATACATTTTATACTAATGCCAATAAATCAAGAAAAGCAGGTTACAAATCAAAAGAATTAAATAAAATGGAACAAAGTCCCTATGATTCTGTCCAAAAGGCAGAATTATATGCCAGGTTTAGGGACATCATTTAGGGGTTGGTTATAACTGATATAGGGATGGGGGAGTTATTTTATAAACTCAGGGATGTTTATCAGAAAAAGGGGGGGATTGATTGGTGATGGGATAATAATATATTGGTATTTGTGAGTTATTGTTTTTAGAAAATTGTATCAGTGTTGATTTTTGTACATTGATATACTGAAAAATATTTATGTAATTTGATTGGAATAATAATATATTGGTATTTGTGAGTTATTGGTTTTAGAAAATTTTATCGGTGTTGATTTTTGTACATTGATATATTGAATGTTGTATGTGAGTATGCTTCTACCTTTATTTGTATCAATATATATACATATATTTACATTCCTACCTCTGATTAAGATATTTATACACATTGTTTACATTTGGAGGTCATTGTCCTCACTCATTACACAGTTGTTCATTCTCTTAGTCTTCAAGTTAGATAGATAGAAATCAATAGTCATATATGTTTATTATATTTATATTTAGGCTAATCAGGTTATTTAGATGCATAGAGATCATACTTAGTATAGATAGTATAATCTTCAACCTCTTCGAAAAGCTGTAAAAAATGGCCTTTAATCTAACTCATAGTTCTATAGTTGTGAGACACAATCGCTCCTGGCATCACTGCTCTACTCCCGAGAGAACATTGAGCACCAAAGGCACTCCACATGGAGCTTGTCTTCTTCCTGGCAGAACTGGCCTTTGGGCAAAGAAAAAGCCCATACCTCAACCACTGACAGAATTACAGAATATCCGTAAATGGATAAAAGCAGGATTGTCTTATCTTGCCAAGACAGGGTGAGAGAGTCCTAAAAGGTTTCTTGCCTTTAAAAAATGGCATGTCAGTTACATCAGGCCTTAGCCAAAGTTGGTTGACTCAACATTGCATATGAAACTTTGGGTGATTGCCCAGGTATTCAGTTGTCTCTTCCATTCGTTACACATTTCGGAAGTTTCCCGCTTGTACTTCCGGGCTGCTTGAGTAAAATTATTTTCCTTCTCAGATCTTTGATGGAGTTGAAGATTAGATAGTTGTAGTTATCATCTACATTATTTAGACTCCCTGAGATAGAATGTTTAGCAGAACTTTGTTATAGGTTTCTTGCTTAACATTGTTTGTTGTTTGTGACTTTATATTTATTATTTGCTTCTATTGCATATAGTTGTATTTGGTTTGGTTCTGTCTTATTTTAGAAAAAAGGGGGAGATGATAGGGGAGTTCAGCCAATCATATTTTGTTTTCGGGGCGTGCCGCCCTCAGGCAAAAGCCTGCCAATAAACATTGCAAACGCGCTCCGCTAGCTCTCTTTTCGCCTGGCTCCTGTGTCCGGACGGATCGGTTGGATTCTGGTGTAAGCTGTTGTAAGTCTTACTTCTGTTTATTAAAACTATATATTTTGTATCAAGATAGTCTGGGGACTTTTCTTTACCAATCGCCCTGCAGCTTCATTTCAGTACCATTTGAGCATTCCCACCATCCCGCACAGGTCCATACTTCCACATGTGGGAGCATTGCAAACAGGGAGCAGAGGTGTTCTGGGCACTTTCAGCCCTTCCTAGGTGAGTTTTCAGTTTATGCATACACAACCAAAAACTCCAAGTCAAGTATGTGTCATTACAGGGTCAGTCTCAAGACGGAATAGCACCGGCCGGGCTCACATACACGGACATGGTATTTTATGGACATAGAACACTTCCCCATAGTGAGGCAGACCTGAGATGCCGCCCCCTCCCTCGCCCACTAGGAGGACAAAGAGCAAAGAGAGTCTGAGGATTGTGGAGCGCTTCATCCTTCTAGGTGAGTAGTTACTGAAACCCAGGTTAGTCTCTGAGATGATGGCCTGAGCCCAAATTCCCCAGTGGAGTGGAGGAGGCCTGGAAGGGCTGGGTGGAAAGCTCTGATAGGAAGCAGGGATTGAGAAGAGTGGGAGGGACGATATGTGTGCTCACAAAGGACTAGGGACCTGCCATACGGCCCTTTCTGAAGTCTGGGCACATGAGACATTCATCCAGGTCCACATGTCCACAGTTGTGCCTAGTTAAAACACGAGCATGGGTGTTTAAGGTCCTCAAGGGCCTTAAAGGGAAATTTCCCATCCACACATACATGCGTGCATGCATGCATGCGTGTGTGCATGGTTGTGGGCGGGCCTAACCAAGGAAATGCATTGAACAGGAGCACGCATGCACCAATGCTTTTCCACGGAGGCCGACGATGTTCCTGAAATGAGAACTCACTGGCTGTGACCACTGTAGAGGGGAAAATGGGTTTTGGGTCGCTGGGCCGAGACAATTCCTCTCGGTGAGTGACCAGGTGTTAGGGCTCAGAATATTCCCTGAGGTGGTTGATGCCTGGCTCCTGAATTCGTCTCATTATGGCCCAGGTTCCCAGAGAAAAGTCTAGGAACGCTTTGTGAGGGACACAGGGACTGAGAGGAGCGAACCAGCAACATGGGTGTTTGGAGAAAGACTTAGGGACCAACCCATGGTCCTTTCCGAGGTCTCTGGGTACTTCAGATGTCCTCCTGGACATATATCCATGGGTGGGCCTATGTGAAAGGGGCTGTGGCTGTTCAGATCCTCGAAAGTCTTAATTTTCTGTGTTCCGGGACATGCGTCTGCCACCCTGAGACTCAAGTCTCGTAGGCATGATTGCCCCTTGGCCCTAGCTAGGTGTGACCCAGCTTAGTGGGTAAGGAGGGTCTGTGGGGATCGTCGTGAATCCTGTCCACCTGGTTTATGAAGAGGTATCGGGATAGCCCATGGTGTCCAAAGCCTCATTTCTGAATGTGACTGGAGGAGGCCAGATTGAGCAATCTGAGAAAGCTGTGTTGGGGCCAGAGGAGAATGGGCAGGGCAGTTTTGCCTGCAGCTGAAGAGACTAGGGACCGTCCAGGAGGCACTTTTTGTACCTCTTGGGCATTTTCCAGATTGATTCTGGGGAGAGAGCAAGACAGGCAAGCACACTGAGAAGAAGAGGTGCTCTGGGCCCTTCCCACCCTTGATAGTGCGGCCCGGTTTCAGCCATATGTGAATGCAAGCCCTGAGTCCCTAGGCCTGATTTCGAGGTGAACCTTACCATGGAAATGGAGGAGAGGGTTGGTTAGACCTTTGTCTACCTGCCTTTCCACTCTTCCAGAATCAGGGATGCTTAAGTTCAGGAAGTGAGGGCAAAGTAGGTGTGATCACCCTCCAGTGGAAAGACAGTCTCAGAGGGTGGTGGTAAAGCAGGTCCACCTTGGCAAGTGACTGGTTACTAGGGCCCACCAGGGTAGCCTTTGAGGTGATGTCTGGAGCCTCCCTTCTGCATCAGACTGCAATCAGGGTCAGAGTGGAGATCTGAGAAAGCTCTGTCAGAACCACAGGGCCCTGGAGGAGTGGGCAGGACAGCATGTGTTCTGGTGAAGGAAGTACTGTCCCCTCCAGCCCCTTTAATTACTGCAGTTTCCAGGCTAGTCGTGTGCACCTTCAAGTCCAGGTCACCACACAAGCTTCATTACTTGCATGGGTTTTGTCCTTTAGCTCCTTGGAGTAGACCCATGCATGTCTGCATGCTTCTTCACCTAATCAGACATTATCCCATTTGGGACGTGGGGCCCAATCAGGTGGGACAAGCCTCCGAAGGGAAGAGAACTCTCAGGGAAATGTGGCTGAAGTGTGGTCACCTAATCTGGGTGGGTCCCTGTTCTGAGGGTCTGGTGGATCCAAAATTAGAGTCAGCCTGGATCCAAGTACTTGGTGCTATATCACCTACTACACATGCCAGGCACTTCCCCAACCCACCCCACCTCCGCCACACACACACACACACACACACACACACACACACACACCCCTCATGTATGTGCACTAGCTGGGCACACATGCTGGGCATTTCTCATGCATAGGTGTTGTTCCAGCCAGTTGGAAAGCATGATTGTGGAGGCAGGCAGTGTCTAGGTGTTATTTTCCTCTAAAGAGAAAGAGGTTTCTGTGGGGAAGGTCTTGAAACAAGCTCCTCTTGATGGATGACTGTTTATTAAAACAGAAACTGTGTCAGAGTGTGGGGGAGGTAATCAGGCTTGTACCTGATAGATCCAAACTTGGTCCGTGAGATGATGTCCAGGGGCAAATAGAAGGACTCCCAGGGACTGCACTTCATCACAGATGGGTGTGAATCATCATGGGGCTCCCTAAAAATGCCATGGTGAAAAGAGTAATGATCCTGCTGAGGCCAAAATGAAATCTGTCTGCAAACACCTTAGTTATTTAGCAGATGTTTATTCAAACTTTTAGAATCTGACACCAGGCGGATTGTTTTTGACGTGTTTAAATACAGCACAATTTTGGGGAAAAAATTCTGGTAACAATGATCTCAATCCCATGTGCAGGGTGAAGATTGAGGCCTAACTACATAGAAACTCTCTTGCAACATACATGTGACCTCTACCATGGATATGGTATAGCTTAGGGACCTAGGATCTGATGTAGCTTCAGTCACATGGATAGCATTGAGGTCACCAGGCTGTAACGTACATGGGACATCTCCCCTAAAGATGGGCTCTGTTGGCTGAGAAACCAAACTAAAGGTAAAGGTTTAGGGAGGGAGAGTCAAACATAATAATCTGGGAGATCTGTGTGTGGTCTTGCTCTGCAGACAGCACAGATCACCAGGTTGTTAACAGCATCCTCTCCTGGTCTTCTGGTTGGAAAACAGGCATAGGCATCCCTTCTGTTGCAGAGACAAGCCTGGGTGCTTACTATTCCTAGTTCCCATAGTGCTTGTCTGTGAGAATAGTGGCCTCATGTCCTCTTACAGGCTGTGTGTCACTCACTGTGGGTAAGTGAGTATATTGGTGAATCTCTGCATTTGCCTCTGTTGGGTCTTTCAAGCATGCCTGAGTCCCTGAGTTGCTTCTGAGACATGCAGACTCAGAGTGGGTAGGGAGTTCAGCAGGACTCAAGCGTGAAGTGCAGGGACTTGGCTCCGTTGACTCCATTGGCTGTCAGTGGGCTGGTGTCAGGTTAATGAGACACCAGTTGTTGGGCCACTTGGTTTGGGGGTCAGCCCAAGCAGTCCTATCCTGGGGACAAGAAATCAGCAGAAAAGGCTAAGATTGAGGGCTACAGGGCTATAGAGAGCTCTGTATTCAGACAGTAAAATGGGACAGAATGAGATTGGATGTGGCAGGATATTGGTGTCATCCTCCCACCTTCTTTTGGCTGCAGCACAGAAAGTGCCAGGACGCATGGCCACAGCCTGTGGAGTTCTGGTCCCTGTTTCCATTGCCACCATGACATCCTTCTTGGTGTCTTTACTATATGTACACACCAACATTTCAGGAGTCCTCCCCAGCCCAGCAGAGCCCCAGCCATATCAAGCAAGGAGCAGAAAGATACAAAGAGAAGTGTCAAGCGCCCAAAGGTTGATCAGAATCTCCTATCAGATAACTTGCAGAACCCAGATCCAGTCACTCCTGCTAACAACTGATATGTGGCATATAGGGCTGGGCATAACCGAGGGGACATTCTGCTACTCCTTGGTGGGTGGAGCACAGGGGTTGCCTGGTACTAACCAGGTCTTTCCATGGAGCTGCGGATGTGGGTGGGGGGAATTCATCTGCCCAGATCTGATTCTCAAGCATGCTGTGGGTTTCTGTTCCCACCCAATATTCTTCCCCTGTGGTAGAGGTGCTAAGTAGTTGGTCTTGGCCAACAGGCCTCTGAAGAAATCATGGGTCAAGGTGAATTTCCTTGAAAGGCTTGTACAAACACAAGTACCTGCTGTCCCTAGACTCGGGTCTTGTTGAATTTCTCCTGGGTGGGTCATGAGTTCCTGGAAAACTACTTTAAAACTGCCCTTGGCATTGGGCTCAGTGGACCCCAGACTGAAGCTGTATCCCATGTGGGATGATGAGAACAGCACACTTCATTTGCAAAGGTTTTTCCTTTCTTCTCGACGCAGCAAACAATCCGGTGGTTGATAGCAGTGAAATGGGCAGCTGTTCCTCAGAATCAAACATGCAGGAGGCCAGGTGATGTCTTAGAGGAACTTTGGCCTGGCCCAGGAGGTAGTTTCATTGTGGTTTTGTGCAGAAACTTCTGCCCTTTTCTAGAAAATGGATATAAATGGAGAATTTGGTGTTTAGTGAAACAAGCCAGCACCAGAGATGACAGTCACCTGTTTTCTCTCATTTGAGGATCCCAGATTATAAATAGGTCCATAAAATGATATCACCTGAACTCAGAAGGGAGACTGGGGAGAGGTAAGCAATGCCCAATAGAGGGGAAGGTTTGAGGAGTAGAGGCCGACTCTGGAGATGGAGTATGGTCATGTGGCATGAAGGTTGAAGAGACACTGTCTGGGTAATAGAGGAGGACTAGTGTGAGGGTACTGAGGAAGGATGAGAGGGAATATGGCTGTAGTACACAAAAGAGGGGTGAGCACAGCTTTATGAAACCTGTCACTACTGTACAGTGAATGGGCTCCGGTAAACATGTAGTATACAAACCCATACGCTGTCACAACATAACACAAAGTCGCTGCTTGTGGAGAGGAGACACATTATAGTGTGGAGTGCAGTTGGGCTAGGAATGCCAGGGATGCGGTTTTCATGAGTCATCCAGCATCCAGCCTAAAAGTTGGTTTCCTGGGGATATGGCTGACCTTGAGTCACCCACACTCCAGTGAGTAACCCTTAACCATGTGCCCATATGTTACTGCAGTGAACTCTTTGGTTCACTATGAAAACCTGAATAAAGGAATAAAGCAAATGACCAAGGAGAAGAAAATCCAATTTTGCCTCACATGAGCAATAGTCTCTCCAAAATCGTGTGCCTCACCTTTCCTTCAAAGCAAAGATATGATATTTGTCTTCATTTAAGGATTCTTGTGTGCATTTTCCACAGGGAGTCTGTCCAGAAGAGGATATGGAATTTCAAAGGTGTGTTTGAGCAGGTGTTGTTAGTGCTGGAGCTTTCTTTCTGACCCTACAACTCATGTGTGATGAGAATGTGGTCACCAGTCAACAGGAGTCTGTTAACAGTTCTGTCACTGAGGGGATTTTTATTATTATTATTAAATTTTGGAAGAGTAAATTGCCATTGTTCTTTAGGGGGTACCTTTAGCTTAACTTTTAACTAACTGCTCTGATCAGGGGGATTTTGTAGCTGTCACTGAGGCAGTAGGAGAGTTTCCTGCTTCCTGCATTGCTGAAGAGTGTTACTGGAGATGATGGGCAAGCAGGTTGATCTGTGCTTTTTATCTTACTGCATAAATGGTATGTTGCATTTCAACAGCTGTTTTTCACCTTCTGAATTAAGTCATTTTTCTGGCTTTTCAAAGTTGCCCTCCTCCAGGAACACCTGCCAAAGAATGGCTTCGAGCGCAGCATTTAGGCCATACACATCTATGAGACTGTCAGGGAATGGTGAAGGCAGCCACACTGTGGCCCAGGAAGAAGAGTGTGATGGCATGCAAACATCATGCATGCCACACTAGCTTATGGTCTGTTGTCCATGGTAACCAAGTCAGTGTACCACATGCTCCTCAAGCTGAGGCAGCTTTTTTATTACTTGTATAGGTGACCCTAAAACAGCATTACTAGAGTGATATTGTCAATTATTAGCTGGTGTATAGAGTCAGTTCATGGAAGCAAGAATGTCTGACAGAATTCCTTCTTTGTGGTACACATGAACTGCATGTTTTTTGAGGTTTCCAGAAAATGGTTTGGCAGTAGTGGTCATTCATCAAAGCGTGATGCCCCTACGCCTGTATTCCTAGCACTTAGGAGGTGGAGATGGGAGAACCCGGAACTGGAGGTCGCCCTTGCTTACCTCTCAGGTTTGAAACTGGCCTGGGATATGCAAGACCCATTCTAAAATTTAAGAAAATAAAAATAGAACAAAGAGCAAAACTAACACCAGATCTGTACATACTCCTTTCTGTTACCATGTAGGTGATGTAGAGGAAGAGTGCCTCTTTCTCTGAATATTTGATTTAAAGTGATACCATTTCCTTTGTCGACTAGGTGACATTATCTGGTCCTTTCTGGCAAAGAGGAAGCAGTTTCAAAGGGATATACATGCCTCTTTCAGAAGGCTGAATGCAAACCTCCATTGTATTTTCAAAGCACAAAAGAAGTCAAGGTGAAGTTGTGACCCTCTGTAAAGGAAACCTGTACAGCTTTCACTCTTCCTTCCAAAGTCACTCCGGCCTGCCATTGTGATCCTGCACTGAGTGGAGTCACTAATGGGACCTATGTGTCACTACATTTTCCCTATGAGCTAGTCCTGTCCATAGCTGGCGGAACCCCTCTTTTACACCACTCAGATGTGTTAGCTGCAAAACTGGCAAGAGAACAGTTCCTCCCCTCTCAGATGACAATACAGATAATGTCCTGTAAGGAAGGCAAGTCTTCAGCGGTACTCAAAACTGTACCTTTTAGGATGTGCCATTGGCGCTCTCTTTGGTAAATCGCTGTACCCATGTGGGTAAAGGGTTCTGTGCACTCTTTGTGTACGTGACTCCCAGAAGATAAAGGGTATGTTGCCTTCAGTACACAGACTTGGGCTTTCAGGATCTCTAGGTTACTCCATAAGGGGAAGGGAAGATGAATCTAATTTTAAGCCAGAAATGCAATCTTGGGAAACGTATGCCTCTGAGACCCTAGGTGTGCAAGAGGGAAGACACACAAGTGATGACACAGGTAGCAAATTAAGACAAAGTTCTTCTGGGATGAGAGTGATGTTTCTGCCTCTCAGGAGACAGTTTGATTCATGTCCCTTTCTCTTTTGTGCCTGACTCTTGTCTCATAATGTGAAGAGTGTGTGTCCTTGACGTACCCTCACAGTGTGACAGTGCTCAGTAGCTGTGACTGTGTTTCACAGGCAAGAACTTCACGCCACACACTCCCAGATATTTGAGTCCTTACAGCAGAGGTGGCTAGACGATGTGGAAAGAACAATGGAGTAAAAAGAACACCTTGCTGTGAATGTCGCTCTTAGGTTGAAAGAGAACCACTGTGTCTTGTTTCCGAAGTGGCAGGGCTTTGATGCATCAAGAGGCCAGGGAAAGAGACAGGACAGGAGGAGACATGAGCATAGGGAAACAGGGAGGGTGGTGCTTGTGGCCTGGAGAAACTCCATCCTCTCCAGATTGCTTCTTTTTCTGTGGATGGGTGGTGTGGTCATGGGTTAGGAGCCAGCATGGGAGGGAGGCTGATTAGGCACTGCTTAGAGAGTGCAGGAGAAGGTATGGGCTTATGTGCTCTGAGGGGAAGCTTTATGATCCATACAGTGCAGATTCCAAACTGTGCAGAACAAGGTGAGGGTGGGGTTCTAACACAGTGATGAGGAAGGCAGAGTGAGAGCAGTCCCTGTGGCTGTGGCAGAGCAGGTGGAGGATTAGCATTCAGAAGTAGGAAAGTATTTATGGACACAGAGAAGTGCTATCTTTGAGGAGTCTTTCATCCTGATGGAGGACAGAGTGGTACTCCCAAAGATGCTGACTTCCAAAAGTAGGAAAGCAGAGCCTGAAATATGAGGGAGATGGAGACAGATTTCAGTCTGGTGGTGAGTAGCATGTTCTCTGGATCCCACTGATTGGGATGCAGTCATAGTGCTGATACTTGCTCGTCATGAAAGCTCAAGAAAATAAGAAACCTCCTTGCCTCAGTTTCCTAGGAGTGAAAGCAAGAAGAATTCCTGCCTTTCTAGACTTTGTGTATTGAGCGGTTTCAGTTTTTGACATGTTGCTGTGGAATGTTTGACCATAGTAGCTGCTGTATGTTTGCTATTTATCTTCCCTGCCATTCTTATTTGGTCGATAATGTAGTTGATGGGATGTCACAATCTGGGGAATGACTGATTGATGAAGAACTTTTTTTGGGGGGTGGGGGAAGGGATTCCTTGAAAGCTAATATGTGTCCCCAGTGTCTTAAACATACTTTATGAAAACAAAGAAACGTTTTATACTTAATTTTGATGAGTGAGGTGGGAATCTACAGATTAGGTAAGTCTTATGTTAATTTGAAAATGAATAATTATTTTATAGGATTTACGCACCAGCTTGATGGACTATCTCACTCTGTGACTGGTCATGCCTTGTTATGTTGCTTTTGGCAATGAAGGGCATGTCTTCAAACGCGTTCTTGAAATGTCAGCACACAAAACATTACGGGAAGTAATTCTTGTGAGCAGCAGGGTTGGATGTTCAGTTTTACTGACATTTTGTCATTATTCTCCTATGTTTCAGCTTATAACTTGGAAGCAGATGAAGATTTTACAGAAAGCTATAGGGGATCATGAAACCAAGATTGGAAACACTAAAGATTTATGTGACACATTTTTGAAGGTCTGGTAGATTGCACTTGTCAACAGAACACACTCTTATACTATGCCACATGTCTATAAAAGCAGGAGACAGGTTGGCCCTTTCTCAGTTTGTAGGAGAAGTAATTAGTTTTGCAAAGCATGATCACACTCTCTTGGGAATATTTTCCCCACACCTAGGAGAAATGCTAAGGTTTGTTAGACCTGGGAAGCTGATGACAGTGTTGAGGGCAGTGTTCTAGCACAGGAGCTGGTGATGAGAGCTCAGTTTAGAAAGGATCACAGTGCATCACAGTGATGAGTTATTGACCTCTAGTGACATTCTGATGGAGATTAGCACATCTGGGGATCCTTATGGTTTTATTTGACTGTTTTGATTGAACAGATCAGTGAAATACACAATGGACAAGGGTAGCTTTTATTTTCTTTCATAAATTTTTAGTCTTCTGACATTAGCATTGTTCTCGAGTGTTGGTGGTCATGTATTTCAGCATCTTCCCCAAAAGATGTGGGGAATGAAAAAGCTGTTAGAGGGCTAATCCCCTTTGAAGTGCGAGCTGGCAATTGCACCCTTGCTGAAGCTCCAGGTCCTAAGTGACCTCTACATATCCAGGAATTGAAGCAGCCCTTCAATGGGAATTCTTTTTGATGCTCTCATTAAAATGCTCTGTGTAAGATCTCCTTGGATCTGACTCAGATGCCTTATCTAAAGTGTTCCATGTGTCACAGTAAATTAAATGTTTTCAGGATGCTAGTGAGAAGCTAGGTCTGTCTTCGCTGAGCAAGCGTGAGTAGTCCTGTTGGTACCCTAGTGAATATTTCTAGCAGTCGTGTGTACTCCAGGGATGTGCTTATAACCCCAGAGTGGTGAGGGTAGAGACAAAAGGATCCCTGGGGCCTATGGGACCACCAGAACAGCCAAATTGGAAAACCTCGTGTTTAGTGAGAGACTCTGCCTCAAAAAGTGATATGGTGAGGGGTTCGGGAAGGCACAGGCACACCCGAATGCACATGTATGCATCAAACACGTACATGTGAAGGAAATCACTTTGAATTTTTTTGCCTTTTGTCGCCATACTCAAACACACATACATGCATACTCTCCTGCATACCCACGCACGCAGAAAAGTAAAAATTTGTTTTCAAGACCTTGAGAGCCATCTACATACATCTAGGCCTTTAGGAAGAACTTAAGAAAAGGGAATATGCAACTCTAATGCAGCTGAATACTTCCTGGGAGCCTGGTGGAAGAGCCACTCAGAAAGGCTCACTTCTAACTGTGAATGCTCGGTGTGAGCAGCAGCAGTACCTCAGGGAGCCTTGTGACTGGGTTTCTATGGCTTCCCAGGTAGTCCCTTCTGCCCTGTGCTCTTCTGCCTCTCTCACTCTCTTGATCTCCCTCTGCTTCTCTACCCAGGCTTCCCTCCTTTCCTAGTCCTCAGTTCTGGCTCTGAGGGACTGTTGTCCTGAAACACGGTCTTTCCCTCTCCCAGATTTCCCAGTGGCCTTCCTTCTTAGTTCTCTCTGTTTCCTGTGTCCTCTGCACAACACCCCCTACCACACACACACACACACACACACACACACACACACACACACACATACACACACATACACACACACTTGAAAGCTTCACTGGCTGCTTGCTTCTGTCTCTCCGTCTTCCCTCCCAAAGCACCAGCTTCCACTGAAGTGACTCCCATTCCCTGACCATGTTTTGCTTCCTCTTTTTGCCCAGAAAGCTCCCTGTGCCTTGTCTTCCCTTATGTTTTAACTGCTTGAAGTCACCATTTGTGTCCTTTTCAGCCACAAGCCCAGCAAGCTCCCCTTCCATATCTGTGTTCAGCTAGTGTGCAGGTCATCTGTTCCTAAGCTGCACTGGACCCTGGGAATAGGGCAAAGACTGGACAGGTGTTTTGCAATTTCTGAACAGAGGGCGACACACTTCTTTCTCCTCTGTGTACACCCCTGCAGGGTTCTTTGAAAGAACAGTGGGATTTGAGTCCTCACTTGAGCTTTCCTTAGATCGAAGGATCAGGTGATTACACATTGTGTCTTCTGTGAAAATCACAATCCATGGGCATAGCAAATGGCTCTTTTCTCTGGGAAACCTTGGGGGTGTCCAGTATGGGAATCCTTGGGGAGTCTCCATGCCTTGTCTTCCATGTCTGCTCCACGTCACCTTTTACCAGATCCTCTGACCATTTTTGAGATAAATCCGTTTGTTGTTCTTGTCTCACAATGATAATGCCTTAAAATGTGGCACTGCATTTTTTTTGGAAAGTGGAGTAACCCTTTAGGTGTGCGTGAAGTAACCACTGTTCTTACTCTGAATTTGTAACAAGCATCCTTTGGATATGCAAAGTCAGATCTTTTAAAATTACTTGAGGTGAGGTGTCAAGCCAAGCTGGAGTAGAGATTTGAACATTGTAAAGCTTTTATTGGTGGCAAAGAAAGTGAAGTGAAGAAAGAAATCTTCAAGGCACAGGACAGAGTTATCATGGAAACTTTAAATCGTGTGTCTGTAATGCTGTGTGCCTAGGGATCACTTCCTACGGGCCAAGATGGAATAATGATCCCCCAATTCTCCGTTTTCCCACAGCAAGAGCAGGATGTGTCCATTGTTGAAACGTCCCTTCAGTCCCTGGTCCTTGACAACTCTGAAGAAACCTTCTGAAGCTCATGTGGAGGATGTGCAGGGAACAATAGTCATGCCGAGAGGGTGTTAGTAGTAGTCAGTATAGCTCCTTTCTCTTTATTTTGTTGGTTCGAAAGAATACTGAGACTCTGTTGACCATGAAGTGAACACCAAACAGTTCTGTGAATAGCAACATTTAAATGTGGATCCTCCTGACCCTGACATTCTCCCCAGCAGAGCCAGTTACATTTAGGAAGCAGATGTCATTTGATTTTACTACAGGCTTCTTTGGTTCTCTGTCACTTCCCCAAAGAGAATGTTACCTTACTTATTTCAAGAAGAAATAAATAATGGTGGGATCTGTCTTTCCGTGCATGCTTTCATTCATTCATAAGGTCACAGAGCCAACTCCATTTAAAATGGGTCTTTACAGGAAAACCAGCCCAACCTGCTCACTCAGACTTACAGTAGAGCACAACTCGTATTTTCATGTTCAGATGTGCTAAACAGTTATCATGGTTCCCACGGCAGAGCCAGATTTTCACATGTTGGGTTAGAGCTTGTAGTGGGGCTGTGACATTTCCCAGAGACATCCAGACTCATTTCCAGGCTTTATTCAACACTGGCTAAAAGATCCTTGCCCTTCCCTTTGGTCAAAAATATTTAATCTATGGATATCTGCATAAGCACTTACAGTTTCAGTATTTTAGATGAGTGTTTCCACGGGCATTTTCTAGTGTTCTCTTTAGAATTTAATTTTACTCAAGTAGTTCTGCATGTGCATGTGCGTGCATGTGTGTTTGTCTAACTCTTGAGTCATTCTCTTACTCTTATCTTGTTCTGTATCTTTTGAACAAATCCATAGAATCTGTGTTCACTACACTTAACATTTATTTTCATGGGTGTGTACTTGTTGAGTCTTTGTGAGCATATACCAGGTACCCAGGGATGCCAGAAGATAGGCTCAGTTCCCCTCGGGAGCTCTCAACCCTTGAGTCATCTCTCTAGCCCTGTTCAGCACATTTGAAATTTCATGACCTTTTACCCGAAGTTTGTGAACTAAACTTATTCTTTATGTAGATTGCAGAAGTGAATCTATGACGGAGAACAAAAGCCTTCTGGGAGGAGAGAGATGAATGATGATTTCATTCTCCTGTCCTTCCCCTTTCATGTGACTCTGCCTACCACTCTTTGTTCAATTTTCCCTGTGAATTATTTTCTAGTCTTTCTTTGAAGGTCAACCTGATGGATTTTTTTTAAAAAAAATTTTATGTGTGTGTGTGTGTGTGTGTGTGTGTGTGTGTGTGTGTGCATGCACATGTACACACATAGGACAAAAGATAGACCTTGGGAGTGAGTTCTGAAGTTGTGAGACCTGGAGATTGGACCCAACTCATCAGGTCTTGTGGAACGTGCCTGTTCAGCCATCTTACTAGCCCAATGTTTTCAGTTTCACTGATTTTGACTTTAATATCACATCCTTCCCTCACTACTCCCTCCACCTCTCCCTTTCTCCCTAGTATCCTCTTCCTCTTCTTGTGTTTCACCCTAACCCCTGCTGTGTGTGTGAGTGTGTAGGGCAAAGGTTGACACTGTGTATCATCTGTCACACCTTTTTCCCAGAGAGGATGTGATATTTATTACTATACATGATTTAGTAAGGTAGAGGGAAGCACCACAGTAGTGCAAGACCTCAGGAGTGCCGGGCCCGCCAATGCCCACGAGACCAAGATTAGTGATGCAGATGACCCCTCGGCCATCAGAAATGAGCCACTTCTCAGTGACTGTGTCTTCAGATCAATCCATATTCAATTTAGTGAAGCCTCACCTCTTTGATATGTAGGTCTAGAGAGAGACAAAGAAGAACTCAGTGAGGAGGACCAGGGCAAAAAAGTGGGAGGAAGGGGCTTAATGACACCACTTGCCTCTGACAGCACAGAGCTTGAACTTGGCTTTACATAGGGCCTCCATCAGATGTTCCTTATTCTGAGGCGTGATTCAGGTGGACGTGATGGCCTGCACAGTGAGACCCCTGGCCGTGGGGACCTGAGGCTTCCCTAAGGCACTGTGAATACCTGCCTGGGACCTAAACTGGAGATAACATTGAGGTTAGAGCTTGAAGAGCTTTCAGAAGATTGTCTCCAAGGTCCCTTAGGGTAGCCCATATAGGCAACCGGGTGAGGTCACTCTGTTGCTGTTGTGTTGTTGGCAACTATTGCACACCAGGTCCTGGTGAGAAAAGGGACCTCCCCTGGTAGCTTAGTTGGCGGCAGATTTACCTTATCTTTTAAGACACAGTCTCTCAGTGAACATGAAACTCACTGATTTTGTCAGGCAGAGTGGCCAGAGAGCTTTGCAGATGGATCCAGTAGTCTGTCATCCACGCCAGACATGCTGGTTCTGGGGTTTAAGTGTATTGCAGTGCCTGCATTTTCTGTGGGTGCTGGTGATTTGAACTCAGGTTCTCATGTTTGCATGGCAAAACTTAACCAACTGAGCCATGATTCTTGCCCATCTTTAATTTTATGTTCACTAACATTAGTGTTAGAAATGAATGACATCTATGGTGCCATTTTGTCCCATGTACACAAGTGCATAGATGATGTACAGCTTTTCCATAATGCTACCTTCTTCCTGCTCTCAGATACTACATCTCACAAACCTCTCTACAGCCTGTCATAGTCCTACTTTCTGTTCCATGGGTTTCATTTTGTTTGTTTGTTTGGTTAATTTTTATGTATGAGATAAAAGGAACATGTGGCACTTGGTGTAGCTCTCTTACTGTTATGTAATGTCATGTTGCATTCATTTGCCTGTGGATAACTGGCTTTCCTTTGCTTGTCCCGCATGTGAATGTGCCATGTAATGTATGCATTAAATAATATATACTATATGTAATACAGCATTTTCTTCATGCTATATTGTGTTGATGGCCACCCAGGATACTTTCTTGAGCTTATAAATGTCTCCTCTAGCTACAAGACAGCATGTCTTTGTTTGTCTATGTTGTCAATGTGGCTGGACTGACAAATGACTAAAGTAAGATTAGGGAAGCTCACTTCTGGTGTGTCTGTTCCAGCATCATTGTCAGAGAGGACAGATTTACAGGAGAGTAACAGGAGAATGTCTCTCACTGGGTGTGGATTTTCCATGCAGTTGTCTAGGAGCCCAAGCAGAATTAAAGAAGAGAAAGTCTGCCAGGGAAGACTAGCTCCATCCTTCCTGAGCTAGAGCATATAGTACCATCACCATCACTCATGGCCACAAGACTCCAGAGCCTCCAGCCATTTAATGGAGATGCACAAGAGCTACAGTCCAGGGAGCTTCCAGACCTGTATTGGGACTGCATCATTTGTTCTCCTTGAGCTGGGGCTTCCAGCTTATCAGTTTAGCTGATACTGAATTATCCCACTATCTGGCATGCAGAAAGTCATATTTGGACAATCCAGCACCCAATTGGGTAAGGTATTCAATGAATTTCACCCACCCCATGTGTGCATGTGTGTGTTGCTTATCTATTGGTTCTATTCACCTGGACAACCCTGACTCATATAGGATTCTCTCTTATGCATGTAGTTCCCAAGATTTCAGGTACTGGCAGCTCAGATAGCAATGTTCCAGGTTTTTTTTTCTTCTGTACCCACAGTTTTGCTCATTCTAGAGATTCACTGTACTGCAAACCTGTACCTCCAGCCTGTCACCATTTCATCAACTAGTCTTTCTGTCATCAACAAGCAGCTGTCCTTCAGGTTTTCCCATGGACAGACATGTGATCCTATTGTCAGGAAGCCCCTCTTAAGGGAGTTGTGCCTCTGCTTGTGTCTAGAAAGCAGAGCCCACCCAAGAAAATGCTTGTACCAAAAAATCATGCTTAGCTTGGTTCTTTTATGTTTACAATCCTTTCTCAAGCTCTCTCGGGTTTTATGGGGATGTAACTGCTCCACTTTGGGGCCATTTGTAGGCAGAGTTTCTATCCTGACTGCTCACTGTTTAGAATCCCTTCTCAAGTTCTCAGGTTTTATTTGGATGTAGTTGTCTTCTCATTAGGCACCATTATATAAACAAAGACTACACTTTGGTTTCCTGGCTGCCCAGTCTGGAACAATCACACAAAAACTATATTAATTACAACACTGTTTGGTCAACGGCTCAGGCATATTTCTAGCTAGCTCTTACTTCTTAAATTAACCCATTTCTATTCATCTGTGTATTGCTTACCAGTAAGGTCTAGTGTCTTTCTAATTTGGTAGCTACATGGTATCTGCCCGACTCTGCCTTCTTTCCTTCTTTATTTCTGCTTGAATGTCTTGGCTTGCTCTAGTCTACCCTGCCATAGGCTAAAGGAGCTTCTTTATTATACAATGGTAATAAAACATATTCATAGTATACATAGGGGAACCCCAGCACCCATGAAGAAATATAGACATGACTATATGTGTCTGTAACTCCAGAGTGGGAGATAGGTGAATCCCTATAGGGCAGTGCCCAGATAGCCTAAACAGAACGTCTAACTTTTGGTTCAGTTGAAAGACCTTTCAAGGCAGTACGGACAAAGCTGAAGAGAAAACCATGTGAGGTCCTTCTCTAGCCTCTGCACACACACGTCAGACATGCATGCATAAATATACTATATACACATGCAAGAAAAGAAAACTCAGTAGTTCAGAGCACAAAAAGTCATGAAAGTGGGAATGGAATTTGCAGGGGGCTTGAAGGATGACAGGAGACAGAGGGAGATAAAAGCAGGTTGGATGAGCATAATCAGAACATGTCAGCAGTTATTGAAAAACCTAATTTAACAGACAATGATTCATTCCGACTTGTGCAGAGACTTGTGAAGTGACTTGCCTCCCAGCTTGGGAGAAAGAAGTACTGTTAAGACCACATAGTCCACCTCATTTCCCATTTATACTTAGAATATTTTAATTGACATTTCCCCATCCACCATCGATAGTGTTAGCAAAGACAAGACAGTTGTGCTTTGAGAGCACTTTCTTCATGTTGTGATGGAACCCCACAGTGTTCATTGCTATCATTTATAAGCAGAAACTTGATCTGTTCTCTTCCGATTATGATTTTGAATATAAAGTTAACCATGGATGCATACTGTGGTGGTTTGAATAAGGTTGGACACCAAAGGCTCGTGTATTTGAATGCTTAGGGAGTGGCATTAATAGATGTGGCCTTGTCAGAGAAAGTGTATCAATGGCAATGGGCTTTGGGGTTTCCAGTGCTGTTGCCGGGCCTGTGTCACTCTCTTCCTGCTGCATACAGATTCAGCTGGAGAACTCTCAGCTCCTCCTCCAGCAACCTGACTGCCTGCATGCCGATAGGCTCCCTGCCATGATGATAATGGACTAAAGCTCTGGAATGATAAGCCAGCTCCAATTAAATTCTTTCCCTTATAAGAGGAGCTGACACTCATTCATCTTTTCTTCCTTAATTTTCCCTTGCCTTCTGTGATATCAATAGTCTCCTAAACTACAAGGACTGTCATTAGGAAAGGAGACAGTAGGTGTTTGGGACCACCAAATGGAGATGTTGAGCTGACATTGTTAATGTCAGATCAGAGGTCCTGACAGCCAGTCAGTGAGAGGTTCTGAAATTACTGGGCATTAACTCATCCTGGAGACAGCCTTCCACCCAGGAACACATCCCATGTCCACTAGTCACAGATTTGTTCAAGCCTCAGGATTTGCCTAGATATTCTTATTTTACCATCTTCTCTGCCTTCTCCTGGTCCTTACACAAGCTGCTCCAGGAAGCACACTGTGAGGAACTCTGATGGCATGCCTGAGATGGCAATGCTCTCCTTGAGGGGTCCTGGGAAAACCTGGGCCATGGAAATGACTCTATGAGCAGGCTCATTGGAGGAGGGATAGCAAGCAAACATAAACATAAGTATCCATGCAGAGAGAGCCGAAGAGTAAAATGGGAAAGTAATCTGCAAAAGGAGAGGGACAACACTGCTAATAGCCACCAAGTGGCATGTGATGTGAAGGCCAAGAATGGACAAGCCATGCAGACCAATGAGGCTTTTAATGGTTGTCTTCCAGGTTAGAACTCTCATGGAAGAAACCTGGAGCTAGGGTCAGTTGACTGTGGGATGAAGAGTACTCAGCAGATCAGGAAATGCACGTAAGGGAGTAAGTATAGTTGACTCTATTGGGAGGTGAAAGCATCTGTGGTGTGCATGATACTGGTTGTGAAGAAGGAACTATGATTTAAAGTTGAAAGAGTTGGAGAAAATGACAAGTGAATGAGGGGGACTGAACCAGGAGGAGGCTCTCTTTTTTTGATTTCTCAAGACAGGGATTCTCTGTAGCTTTGGAGCCTGCCCAGGGTATCTCTGTAGCTTTGGGGCCTGTCCTAGATCCAGCTCTTGTAGACCAGGCTGGCCTTGAACTCACAGAGATCCACCTACCTCTGCCTCCTGAATACCGGAATTAAAGGAATGCACCACTACCACCCGGCTCAGTAGGAGGCTCTTAAAGCACTGGAGGGAGAGAGATGATGGAGAAAATCATCTGTATGATTGAAGAGTCACTTAGTATCAGATGCCAGGGAACACAAAGTACAGACAGGGAAACATCGTGTACCCCCTAAAAGGGGACAAGTTGAAGGCCTCAGAGGGAAGCCTGTTCTGTAAGATGGCACACACTTCAAACCCTCCAGAATCCAATCACCGTGGACATGGGCCACACAAAGACAGATTACGGGACATGATATTATAAATACCAGAAGTAGACTGAACCACACCATGAAATCTAGAAGACTGTAAGCTTAGTTCACATTGGTGGGGACAAAGAATGTTTTCTGACTGAGGGAACTGACAGTGAGAATGGTGCCCCTATCAACTGATAATGGTAGGAGACTGGTTATCCAAAACAGCAGCTGCATCTCTATCAGACATCATACACAAACAGTCAGATGCAGATGAACAAATAATTGAAAGCAAGGGCTGAAAAACCTTAGCTAGAAAATAGAGTTTAGGAACAACCTGAGACTGAAGACAAATTTAGTAGAGAATGGAGACACACTGCCCTGATAGTTAATACCACAGTGTAGAAAGTAGCCACACATTTGGAAAGGCACACCTATAATAAAAGACATGATCTCTTCATCACCTTGAGTATGTGAGAGGGAAATGTGAGTGGTCAACAACCACAAACTCAAAAGCCCAACACTATTGTGGTTGAAAATAATGGAGAAAAGGGTGCTAAGGAATTATGGCTCTTCATTTCTCAAAATGATAGCTTTAATGTGAGGGAAC